AAGGATAACAAGAAGTCTAACAAAAAATCAAAAAGGAAGGTGATGGTTTTGGATGACAATGAAGATTCTTCCAATTAGTTATAAGTTGTAGATAGTTTAAACATTGCAATAAATTATTAAATATGAACAACTGAAAAAGGTGACTTGGGACTGATGTATGAACAAATGAAAAAAGTGACTTGGGACTGATGTTTTACAATAAATATGAAAAAAATAGAAAAGTAAGATTCTTCCAATTAGATGTAGATATATTACAACAGATATTAAAAGGTGACTTGTGAGTGATATTTTACAATAAATATGAAATAATAATAATAATAATAAAGTGACTTGGGACTCTGGGAGTGAAACTAGGTGGAAAAGAGAGGGGGGTACCTGAGGTACCTGCAACAGGTACCTTGGGTACCCCCTGGGAGGTGTCTGGTGCGGTAAATGGTATCTATTTTCTTGAAAAAATGAACAGGTACCTAGGTATAAACAGGTACCTAGGTCCGAACGAACGATCTCTACCATGGATGATTCAAAAATCTGAAAGAAGAGAGCAAATGGTGTTGCCAATGTGCTGGTTGGAAACCTTTTGCCTCAGTCAGAATGTTTCAATCAATTCAAGAGATGCAGTATTCTTGAATCAATTGAAGGATCAGGAGAAGATAAGAAGGAAGCAATCAATCTCATCAATATTTGGTTTAAAAGTGGTCAAGGTTACATATCCACCAAGCAAGACAAAGCACACACCGACAGGGGAGCCGGGATTGCTGTTGTTTGTTTTTTCAGGGCTGCACGACCTTGTTCTGTATTTGTTGATGGATAGGTGCAAGATTTTTTTTGTTGTCTATGGTCAATAGAGTGGCCAACAGACCATGGCTTTATGGGAATCATCAGCGAACCACGACTCGGCCAATGTTTCTTTATCTAGATATGGCTACCTAATCCTTCTCTTCTTCTTCAGGTCATTCTTCAACCCTTTCCAATCAATCCATCATTATTTTCTCTTCTTGGTTTCTTTTCTTCTTTATTCTATTGTTTTGGGTGAAACACCAACCTAGCGACCTCAAAAGATTTTTTTCCTGAAACATTAGTTGGCTGGAAAAATGGTTTGGGAATTCATGCCTCAACAGAAAGGCAGAACATGATGCTTGAAAAAAAAAAAAAAAAAAAAAAAAAAAAAAAAAAAAAAGGGGGGGGGGAAGAAGAGCACGCATCATGGCCCTTCAATTTCTGCTGAAACCCACAGGCACATTTTTTTTACCCTTCAGAACCTTCAACACCCTCCGTCCTCAAGCATAGAGCAATACAGATCCTGGATTCCTCTGCACATCAAATTTGGGGGCAGATAAAATGCAAAAAAAGATGAGAAGTATACAAGACAAATCAACCACCTCCCTACCTCTAAAAAACAAATATTCATAATATATTTTCTTCATCTATTTTCCTTTCCTGGTTTTTACCATTGGTACCACAACTTTACTCTGAAGATGTCACATTCCTTTTTCTGGATCTAACTCCCACCTGCCCCAAATCAAATTTGGGGGTGGTAAATAAACAAAAAAAATCTCAGTATAATTTAAATCAAACTGTAAGGTCTGGATATGAAACTAGAAGGAAATTCTAGTACTATTCCTGTCCTAATAAATTTTGTTAGTAATTTTATATTAATTTTTAAAAGTGTGTTTAAACTTACAAAAAAAGGGGGATTTTTGGTTAAACAATCAAAGAAAATTATAACCTCACAATGTTACTTGTTGATCAGAGGCCTAGAGTTGAATGTTAATCAATACTCTGAATTCCAATGGAGGAATTGGGGAAGAGTGAATTGTTTGTTAGACAATAGATCACTGGGAGTTTTTCCAACAAGGTCTTTTGGATGAGTTGAGAATTCCTGGGCAATTTCTAGAGTAATACTTCTGCAACAGAAAGTAAGAAATGGCCAATTTTAAAGGAATAAAGAGCTAGGATCTTTTAAGGGCAAAGGCTACAGGTTAAGGCTGGAGGTAGCAGTAAAAGAGGAGCTCTTTTTTGTGGTTAGAATTCTAAGGTTGATAAGAGAAATGGTTGGAAATGCTGGCTTAAAGTTAATAGTAGTATATATGGTGAAGTAGGTGAATTTCTGGGGTTTAAGCACTCAATAAAGGAGTCTTTATATAGCCACCAACCTGAGGGTGTCTTACAGTGCATTTTTGCACAATGACACTGATGCTTTGGGCTTGTTTGGCTGGGTGAAAGCCATGTCCAAGGCCTTGGTTATCAGTATCCCAAAGGCTGAAACAGTTGTAACTGTAACCAAGGGTACAGCTACCCAGTCAGGAAGTTATGATGCAATGCCAAGTTGTTGCTAGGGTTCTATATACCCAAAGGAGACCTTTTGTTTTGTCTTCAATCCATTTTGGAGGGGTTTGGTTGAGGTATTATGATAAGTACTGGCTGAGAACAGGTTAAGGCCCCATTTATAAACAGTATTTTGAAAAACTTTTGAAAGAATTTTGAAGTTCAAAGTTGGCTGTGATTTTGAAATTTTTTTCTTGCTTCTGATTTTGAACTTTTTTTTTGCTTCAAAAGCGCTTCAAAAGTCCTCAACAAGGAGTTTTGAGCAATCAGAAAATTTATCTCCTCGATCATACAACTTTTGAAAGAGAACGGTTGAAAACCGTTTGATCATTACATAGCTACTCCCATGCCCCAGATGGTCAAGACCAACAGCAACTTGGGACTTCCATAGTCAAAGTTTCACCAAGTCCAAGTGGGTCTTGCTGTAGATTTTCCCATGAGAACCAGTTGAAGTCGGCCAGAGACATACGGAAGAGCTTGACAAACCTGGCCGCAGGTATTTGTTTGTCTTTCCATGGTTCCCAGCAATCCGGAAGCTTGAACACCTCACGCCCGCTTGAATATAAACCATGTTGCGCTCCTGACATCGTTGGACAAAGAGAAAATGCCAGAGAGCAATTCCTTGAAGAGAGTCATTGTCGTCCAGATTAGGGGGTAGCATTTTGTGTTAAGCCTTGAAATAATACAAAGCCTTGTCTCTCCGCTTGCGCAGACTCAATACAATTGATGCAATTTTTTTCATTACCATGCTTGTGCTACTGGGTTTATAACTACTCCCAGCTTCTGAAAACATTTTGAAAAGTATTTGAAATACAAAAAGTGTTATTTTAAGTTCAAAAAAAACCTTTCAAAAGCATTTCAAAACATTTTCAAAACATTTTCAAAATATCGTTTATAAATGGGGCCTAAACTACTTGGGCCAGATTGAAATGGGCCAATTCTCAATCCTGTTGATTTCAAACTGGACCAGGGTTGTTCTAGTGGATGGCTGATGTAAGAGGATATTCTGATTTTGCTCAGAGAGTTTATTAATGTTAGGGATAAACAAAACAGGTTACATGACCAAGTGGCTGGTCAGGGTTCAGAATATGTGGTCCAAATTGGTTACTTGGTTATAGTTGCTGAACTACAAGGTTGTACATGTTGCACAAGCCTTGGAACCTTGTTTATCTTGAGTTCACATCCAATGAACTTTGTTTATTTCATCAGCTGATTTGGTTCTGTAACTTTAAATGTCTGTAACTCTTTAGTTATTGATTATTTTACAGACTTCTTTGGTTTTTGAGTATGTAGTTACACAGTGGGATGTAACTACATGAAGTTTGTTTTATTTTCTAAGTAAAGAAAAAAAGTTACTTTTTATTTATAAAGGCCTTTGTGGTCATTTGCAGTCTTTTGACCATATAAACTTTTTATGTAGATTTTTATGCTTAATAGGGGGTATCAAATATAACCAAATCCACCATTATTTAATTGAATGGTTTGAAAAAATCCACCCTTTTTTGAACATGTTGGTTCTTCATTTAACCTCTTTTGTGGCCCATTGACAAAAAAAAGTTTTGAGAAAAGTGACTGGTTTCTAATGGTGGATTTCCTATATTTGATACCCCCTAATATTAATTTGGGGCCTTAATAAAAAACACGGTTTTGACGCGATTTTGCAGCAGCGCTGCGCAGCACACGCGGTTTCCGCGTTTGGACGCGTTTTTTTAATTAAATTTTTACACCTTATTTCTTATTATTTTTTTAATTTTTAAAGTTTATTCCTATCTTTTAAAGTACTTAGAATTTAATGGTAAAAACCATTTTCCGTAAAACTCAAAGGTCCATTCTTAACACTGCAATTAGACAATTTTTTCAATTAATTTTTGACGGCTTAATTTTCATTATTTTTTGACATTTTGATTTTTTTTCCTACACTTTCATACATTTAGAGAATTATGGTAAAATCCATTTTGCATCAAAATGCAATCTTTTTCTTGGATATTGCATTCAACATGTTTTTTAATTAATTCTTACAGGCTTATGATTCATTATTTTTTGGAATTTTAAATTCATTCCCTACTATTTTAGAGTTTTCAAGTGCTATGGTATCATTCATTTTACCCAAAGATCAGATCTTCAATTATAATTTATGAGCTTACTGTTGGAATTTCATCTCTTTTTCTTCTCATCCCTAAAAAACTCATCTATCCCACTGTTAAATTCAACATGATTTCATAAATAATTTACATGATTTTTTTACTTTGTTTTTGATAGTTTCTGCGTGATATTTTGTTATGTTGTCTAGTGCTGCAATCCTTGTAGTCTTTGAACCCTGGTCTAGTCTTTATCAACTTACACTTATTCCAGACATCTTTTCAAGCATATGTTTATCTGTTTTATTCATTTTGATATTCATTTTTCTCAACCACATGTTTGACCTCTTGTATGTAGACTATTTAACGCGTAGTCTCCTCTAAGTAAAAAACACATTGGCTCTTACCCTCTTTTTCCGACACTTGAGTCTTTCCAACAAAAAGTCACTTTTTTGTTGCCCAAAAATTTTTCTCATCAAAGAAATTTCTCCGCCTCTCCGGTTAAAATTTCATCACGATTAACAGTCGAAACACACCTCCTCGACTTATTAATAACAAACTCTATCTCAACTCTCTTCATTCCTATTCTCACTCAAAATGTCCACCAAAGTTGTCAGAGAAACCAAGGTTCTCCTCACTCCAAATAACTACGCTCTATGGTTTCTTCCAATGGAGGTGCGACTTTTCAAATTGAATTTGTTGGACGTTGTCGAAGACAATATCGTAACTAAAACTGAATATGACAAGGCAGCCTGGAACAAGTTGAACAACACCGCCTATTCTGAAATCATAGGATACATTGGTCAAGAAGTCCTTGGTTTTGTCAGCTCGGCCCTTCCCTCAACACCTCGCTTCAACGGTCAGGGACTTTGGAAACTCCTGAAGGCTCAATATGCTGGCGATGATCTCACATTGCAAACAACCGCGCTGGATCAGTTTTTACATCTTGACTTCTCATCAATCTCTCTTTTCATTCCCGCTGTTCAATCGGCTAATCAAAAAATAACAATGTCAGGATTGGTTTTGGATGATCGTGTCCAAACAATTTTAATGTTGAAAAAGTTACCGTTGGATTATCGCTCGTTTCGCGATATCGTTTTGATGAACTATGACTCGGAATCTTTTGAATCGGTCATCAAGAAACTCGAGAGCTATGTAGCTCAAAACAATCTCGATAAAAAGCCTGTTGCATCAACAACTCCGCTACAGTCACTTCTTACTCGATCAAGCAATCAATCTTCGTCGAACTCACCACTCTGCGATCACTGCAAGAAGCCGGGTCATCGCATCAATAACTGCTGGGTTAAATACCCTGAAAAGGCTCCAAAGTCACACTCAGCTCACATGACGGTTCAAGACAACTTCAACCAACTCAATGATCCAACCGATTTCTCTCACTTCAGAACAGCCGACGGCAAACTACACCACGTTGACGAGATGAGGTTTGAAGGTGTCCAATACTTCAATACATAGCCAACCTCACCTTCTCACTCTTCATCTCTCATCTCCGTCAAACAATTATTTTTTCACTCTAAGGTTTTTTAGGTCTGAGCAGCGGGGGGTGTTGGAATTTCATCTCTTTTTCTTCTCATCCCTAAAAAACTCATCTATCCCACTGTTAAATTCAACATGATTTCATAAATAATTTACATGATTTTTTACTTTGTTTTTGATAGTTTCTGCGTGATATTTTGGTATGTTGTCTAGTGCTGCAATCCTTGTAGTCTTTGAACCCTGGTCTAGTCTTTATCAACTTACACTTATTCCAGACATCTTTTCAAGCATATGTTTATCTGTTTTATTCATTTTGATATTCATTTTTCTCAACCACATGTTTGACCTCTTGTATGTAGACTATTTAACGCGTAGTCTCCTCTAAGTAAAAAACACATTGGCTCTTACCCTCTTTTTCCAACACTTGAGTCTTTCCAACAAAAAGTCACTTTTTTGTTGCCCAAAAATTTTTCTCATCAAAGAAATTTCTCCGCCTCTCCGGTTAAAATTTCATCACTTACCCAGGTTCTTGCATAATTTTTACCGTGTACCAATTTTATTTGGATGCAAAATGGATATAATCATCAACTTTTAAACCTTTGAAAATGCAGGAGATGAATTTAAAATTCCAAAAAATAATGAATAATAAGCCTGTAAGAATTAATTAAAAAACATGTTGAATGCAATATCCAAGAAAAAGTTTTCATTTTGATGCAAAATGGATTTTACCATAATTTTCTAGATGTCTGAAAGTGTAGGAAAAAATTCAAAATGTCAAAAAATAATGAAAATTAAGCCGTCAAAAATTAATTGAAAAAAGTGTCTAATTGCCGTGTTGAGAATGACCTTTGAGTTTTATGGAAAATGGTTTTTCTCATTAAATTCTACACACTCTAAAACACAGGAATTAACTTTAAAAATTAAAAAATAATAAGAGATAAGATGTAAAAATTTAATTAAAAAAATGTGTCCAAACGCGGAAACCGCGTGCGCTGCTGGGGGTTGCTCAGGGGAGCTTAGTAGGACTTGGGGGCGCTTTTGGGCCCATTTTGGCCCAAATGTTGATGTAACCAGGGCTGGAACCTTGGGGATAATATTCCAGAATCTCCAAGGGGTCATGCACAAAATTATTACAGCCACGAATGTCCCATGTGAACCTGTAGATAGGGGCTACTCTATTACGTGGAGCAGGTTCCTTGGAAATGGGCCACAAAATATTCCAGAGATGTCTTCTGAGGCTTGCTACACGTGTTACCCACTGGAATATGGTTACTGTAGTATTTTCATGGATATTCTACACCACAGGCTCTGGTCGACGGATGCTTGACGGAAAGAATTCTGTAGGCTTGACCCGTACCGCCCCGACGAAAAATTGGGGGTGCTTCATAGCGGGGGGCGTAAATCCCCGCGGTCGGCTTGACCCTGCAACGTTGGCTTGCCCGCGGTTGCAGGGCTGGTTTGCGGCGGCCTTCTAATTGACTGCAGTACGTCGGCATGGGGTTGACGTTCGATGTTGGCCTGCCGATGCAGCTGGCGAGTGCTTGCGGTCAACTGTGACGTAGGATTCACAGCTGGCTTTACAGGAACAGCCAGTGTTGGCTTGACGGCAGCCGCTGACGATGCCGTACAGTCAGCTGTCAACCGTAGCTCGTCCGAGAATCAGGTCCCCGCGGCTGGCAGTACACTCACTGTCGGCCGCTCAGAATCGAGGCTAGCACAAGGATGCAGGCTCGGAATTATGTACTTGTATTGCTTGAGCACACTCGCTAATCTGACAGCGATTAGGTTTTTTTAACATAGAGAAATGAGCGATACATAGAAAACAAAGAGAAACAAATAAAAACGGTGAAACCGAGGCCGGAAATGAGAAAACAAGTCAAGTAAGGGTTAGGTCGGGTGCTTGGGAAGCTCGAAATTCTTGAGTGCTTTCTTTTTGAGAAAGGGCGATGTTGACATCATCGACCGAAGGAACAGTGAATTGTTCCGTTGGTATCTTTTTGTAGTGCTTTGAATGCGAAAATAATTCCTTATCCTTTTTCAAGACAAGGGTTGCATGCCTTGATTAAAAATACAAGTCAGGACAACTCACTTATCGGAAAAAGAGAGAATACAACTTACATGGTTTGAAACTCAGAGGTTGAATTCCGGAGGATTGCAAGTCGGTCGTCAATTGCACCCCATTGTGTACCCTTTGATGATGGGTGAGTGTAGTAGTAGACAAGAACAAGTCGAAGATAGGCCACACGAATTCGCATGAGCCAGTTGGATTCAACTCGGGTCCTGATCTGTTCTTCAGTCCACTTTTGGTTTTCCGGAGGGAGGTCAGAATAGATCTGGAAAGCAGGCATGCGAAACACACAACAAAACCAGAGTTAGCTTTCATTTCAGAAGCCAGAGGTAGTCGGGAAAGACCCTCACCATTGTGGCCAACGCATGTCGATTTGGGACGGGACCTGTAATCTCGATCCTTTTGGTCTCGAGGATGTTGTTCAGGATCTAAGCATCCCAAATGTTAAATTCAATTACATTTGATTCATTAAGATGAACTATGTAGGAGGTGACAAAGACTCACCAGTACACGAAGGTGACTTCGTTGGTGTTTTAACAACTCACCAATGACTTGAGCATACAGTTTTAACGCTGGCGATTCCCCTTTGAGTTGTTTTGGAGGAAGGTTGTCTTCTCTCCACTCGTCAGGCTGTTTGTGAATAGCATCCTGGTCAAAGAAAAGCAATAAGTCACCAGGAAAGGGAATCAGGTAAGAAATTGGAAATCGTACCAACGAAAGGTAGTACAGACTCTTGGGGAGTGCCCCACTTTTATTCGGATTGTTTGAGTAAGCCTCAAGAGTCGGAATGAGGAACGACATTCGGGCGTTTGTCCTCACAAAAGTCTTGTTGGCGAGATTGATGGAGGTCAAAATGAATCGGAATGGAGATGTGAGAAGATGTAATGAGATTAACCTCACCTTGAATGTGTCACCGTATGGGACAGATGCTTCAACTGAGGTCTGATGTTGTTGGGCCGCAAGAAGAGCATACATGACATTTGCATGCCTCTCGGGTGTGGGACACTGGAGAAAAAGTAGATGTTAACAATTTGGAGAGAAAAACGATTGATGAGAAAGATTGGAATGACTTACGGTGCTCGCTTTGTGAGCAATCTTATCATGCTCATCATCAAGATGATGAAGGGCTTTAAGTGCAGAGCAGACTTCATCCATATGGGTCGATGGTGGCAAACGAGAAAAGTTGAGTTGAGTATTGGTATCACACATGATGTCATCTTCGTTGCCTGACTCCAGGGATGCTTGCCTCGCACGCTTCGATGATCTTTGGGATTCTGGCAAGTGTTGAGGAGAGGAGGGAAGAGGAGTCGAGTGGGGAGGGGATTCGTCTTCTTCATCTGGACAATAAGAAGCAGTCGGATCACCATCACCTCCAAAAACTGGATCGTTGAAGTCCATAGTGAGATTGAGAATGAAGGGAAAAGGGCTGTTCGATGATGGTGCTATCAGAAGCTGTGGTTTGTTTGTGAACAAGATCGAGATACAAAATCGATGATGAAGCGGTCTTAAATATCAAGTGTTCAAGATTGATGTCAGAAACAGTTATAACCACAATTTGGTAAAGGTCAACGGTCAACGGTCAACAATCAAAATTCAATTCAAACATCACAACCAAAGACTTACAATCCAATCAAGCCATCCCGATCAAGAGAAAAAAAACAATAAGTCGAAAAAATGCCGCCGGATAAATGTGAGAGGAAATCAAATTGATGTGGAAAGAGATGAAAAATTTCACCAGACTGACACACTTTTTTCGATAGACTTTTTTCAGGAGGGATCGAACCAATTCAGTTGTATCCTCTGTCGTGGAAAGAGCACCAGCAACCAAAAGAAGCATGCACGCGGCCAACGACATCTAAACCTTGTGCGATTGGATGAAGAGCGTATTGAGAGACAACAAGAGAGGATCAATGTGAATGAGACTTTAAACCAACAAGAGTCAAACCGGCCACGGATCGATATAGAACCTATATGCGACGACCCCGTTTGTTCCGATGAGCAAGTTGAACCTCTAGTGAATGAAACCGATGATGAAAGCGATGTGGTTCCAATCAGTTTGTTTGAAGATGGCGAGAGTGAACATGAGGAGGAAGAGCTGGACTGGTTGAACTTACTCGGTGTTGCAATTGATCAGATTGATGATGAACCGGCCGACTCCTTTGATGGACTTCTAGTACCTGCTTTCCAACGTGACCTGGCCGAAATTGAGGAGATTATGACAGTTGACTCTGCGTGGTTCCCATTTGTAAACAAGGACGTGTGTCAATGATATCCTTCAGCAAAGAAAATTCATCAGTCCAATAATTCAAACTGATTCTTAATCCTTTTCTAGTATCTTATTGGATCCTTATTTGTGGGATACTTGCACAAGATCATCTCTCGAGATCTATATCATCAAATTCGAAGCATACTCACATTGCACCATATCCATCTGCCAGGATGGGAGACATTAAGGAGGACACGTCAGAAGATACGTCTCATGAGTCACCACTCTCTGGTCGAAAAGGAATCCGTATTTGGCCAGCCAATGTTTGCGCTGGATGCTAGAGAGATAATTTCAGATGTCAGCACTTCCCTAATTTGTGAACTTGAGAGAAAGTGTTTGTTAATTCCCAACATCAATTTTTTTTTTGGCAGGATTTAAGGAATCCCTTGGTCGCCCCCCACTTGGATTTCCTGCCGGAAGATGCACATGGAAAAGGCATATTCAAGACTTCACAGTCAGCAAAGTGGCTCAAACATCTTGCACCAGATATACGTGTACAAATGGTGGCTTATAACAAGAAACACTACTATACTTATGAGCCGGTCCAACTCAAGAATGACGATATCATTATTCCGATATTTTTCTACACACTTCAATCTAACACCTTTGCAAAATGCTACAAACCACAAATTACATCAAACCGGC